AAGTAAATATCAAAATATATTTGTCACTTTCTTGCAACAACCCATGACACGTTACATTTCACGTGGGTTTCTTCTTGATTTTTGTTGATGATTAAATGTTAAGAATCCGTTTCCGTAAGACACAGAAGTTTAAAATACTAATGCAAGTATGGGCATAGTTCCTACTTATTCAATACAGTACTAATTTGTTTACATACCCTGTTACTCTGGAGAGCTTCAGCACTGTGCTCCTCCTTTTGTCTAAAGCAGTTGGTGCACTTGCTTTTGTTAAAGATGTTCGGGGCGAATTTTCTGCATTCGGACCTCATCAGTGTTGATGACATGTTGTCACACACTTTGACATAAACTGCAGCAGTCGCACATTTTTTGGACAGTCTTATATGAACGTCGTCTGCAAGAACTTAGTGTTTTATCCATATTTTATAAATGTAATAAAAACAATTATTATAGGTAATTCACTCAACACCTGAACCTAAAATTTTGCAACTGAAGTGTTTTGGTAGAAGACCAATTGTTTTAAAATGTTCAGTGTTCTATTTTTTGAAGCGAAAGGCTACAGAAATTACAGCACAGAAACAGAACTACCGCCGAATAACTGACACATTTTATTCATTAATTACAAACTATGTATCCTTGTTCCCGTTGTACTTACTATACATTCATATCCACACAAAACTTTTCACCTGTCTCCTTTGGTGGATATAACACCACACTCCTCACTAGCCATCACAGCCATCTTCCAACAGCACTACACAACTGCAACTCAACCTTAAACGAAGCCCGACTCCGACTACATCAACGTTCCTTCACCGTTCCATTCATTAGATTCTCTTGCGAGCAAGAAAGTAGTTCCATGTATTTACAACAGCTTCTAAAACTGAGCTGTCATTATTCAAACAATAAGATAAGCAGTATTCCAGTATGACTAAATATATATTTAGAAATCTGAAACATTGTAATTACATTAAGCAAAACAGTAATGAATGAACGATAACCTTGCGCCAAGTCAGGGTTATACGAAACGTGTAGCACTGCGTAATTGTCGTATATTTGTAATTGTATTCGAATCAGATTTTCAAAATATTATTACAAAAATATCAGGTGCAGCAATATCATGAGGAATCAAGAGACGGCAGTTGTAAAGTCCACGTTAAATTATTTTCTGATAATACGATAATTTATATTTCGCGCGCATATTTCCGCTTTGCACGTCTCAAATGTTTCCATTCGTCATTTGTTATATTATGTTGTACTGTGGTATATTTCCGGATCCGTATCATGCAAATATGGCGGAAGGAGGGTCTGTCAGGTGTGTTAAAATAACTTACTTAAAAAGCGTTGCATTATTAACCCATAAAATGTTGAGAAACTGAACTAATTTTGTGAACAAGAAAGTGCATTGATATGAACCAGTGGACGTTAAAACAATGTAATAGAAACCAATGCTTTATTTCTCATATGAAAACATTGGCTTCGAATGAGTGTAGAGACATGGAACAAATTATAACCATTGAAATCAAATTAATCGTCTGTAATGAGTACCCTTGACGTTAGATTTTTAAAATTTGAAATACACACAGTATAGGACATACTTTAAATAGGAAACATTTATCACACTTTTGTTAAGGCAATATATAACTAAAAAAAAGTCCTGTTTGTTAACGCCAGTTATGTTATTTCTAAGTTAACATTAAGCAGTGATAACAAGTTTCTTCGCAGGACACTTCACTTCAGTAGTTTGCGTCATTGTCTTTACTGTACTGCTTTCCTTGCGCACATCCATATCATTAAGCACAATTAAAAATTAAGTAGCACCAGTCATTTGATTTTCAGAGCAGTTGCTAAACTGTAATGTTTTTAAATTGTCTGTTGTTAATTTTAAATACAGCTGATAAAACAGTCATTTTGCAAGCCATGTTCTGATACTTTTAACGAGTAGTACAAAGTATTTTTATTTTAACTGAAATATGGAATGTATTGGAACAACACATTAAGTAATTGCCACAGAAGCCATATGGAGACAGAATATGAAGTTCCCTCATGAATTTACATTAATTTACTATTGATCAAACCATTTTAATGTGATGTTGCATGCATGCAAATTTTTGTTATACTAGAGCATACATTGTTGCAATGGAAACTTAAAATTGTTCAAATGTCAGTTGCAATCAATTAGTTTATAAGTATGCAAGCAGTAGTGGACTTGAAAAAAGGAAAAAGAACTGTCAGTTTTCATTTGTATTATTAACTCAGTGATATTGCAGAACACTGCATTATTTATAATGGAAAGATCAATTAATACATACAATAAATTCCCCTTCAACAGAGAATTGGATCCCTCTAAGATTGCCATCATACGTGAAGTGTATGATAGTGAAAATGCACATGAAACATTTGAACTGGAGCTGGAGCGTGCCTTGGAGGCAGGCTGCAGCATAATTTTTGTCGAACCGTCAAGGCTAGGGGATGAAACAGCACGCTGGATTGCTGTTGGTAATTGTCTGCACAAAACAGCAGTTCTCTCAGGAATAGGTGCCATTGCAGCAGGTAGATATTACTTTAATTTAACCCTTTACTTTCAAGAGCAAGATTTGTATATGCATAGGCACCAGTAGTTGTGATTGGTGTTAAATGAGCTAGTTTGTTTGGCAGTGTAGTATAATGAAGAAGTATAACAGAAGGGCAAAACAATAGTAATAAATAAACAAAAATTTGTTTTATACTGTTATTATAGTTTTCTCAATTCAACAGGCAGATTTGTCTCCACTGCTACTTGATCTCTTCCAGCAATACATTACACACTCGTTTTGGTACGTACAGTTATTATTAGACTTTATAACTGAAGGTTTGCCATTTCAGGATTGGTATGGACAGACCGTCCATATGTATGTACGCCACTGGGAGCGCTGTCATTGCTGTGCACTGGACTGTATACTATTTCATGGCAATTTGACCCCTGTTGTCAGTACCAGGTTGAACGAGATCCAAAAAGGCTTTCAAAGTTTCCTCTTCTTAGTACTCTTGCGCCAGCATCTGTTGTTGTTTTAGTTCGGCGGGATGACTCAAGACGGAAAATTCTTCATACAAGTGTGTCTCTGATCGCAGCTGCTTTTTGTGCATGGCGACTTTATGATGCCTACAAATGAAAGTAATTTGTTTCACAGACCAAGAAAATAGATGTGTAGAATCCAGTTATTTTACATTGAATCTGACACATCACATCCCATGTTTACTTGATCCAGCATATTATACATGAAGAATTTTACTTTAAGTAACTGGATTCTGCTTTATGTTTTTATAGGGAACATGAATAATTAACATAGGGATCACATTAGGCAGGGTAGCAGCTAGTCTGCTTCGCCATTGCTGACACATCTGCAGCATTTATGTGCAAACTCCATCAACATTGATCTGCGTCAGAAATGGAGTGTGCGCTTGAATTTGCCATGTGGCTCAGTTTCATGGCCCTAAAGCTGTAAGGCACAACACCCAGGATTGTTATCACTTCGGTTTGCGCCATCTTAAAATGTGTACTGAAGGCCGTAGGGCATAGGAATTAGTCGTCGTTTCATTGGTGGAATTGAAAATTAAAGACATGGAAGTTCCTGCTCAACAAATCTGTATGCTTACGATGGCAACAGACATGTTTATTAAGGGCACAAATATTGTTTGGTATGGACAGAAGTTGCACATATAAACACGGCATCGGATTTCAAAAGATGTAATATGTACGGATATATTGTACTACATTTAAAGTTATTCTGGACCATGGTCTAGTGATAGTAGTTATTTGATAATTGTAATGGGTGGCTACTGATTAGTCCAAATGTAAGAACAAATATTTTTCCTACCATAAATTTTCTTTTGTTGTAGGAATGGATGTAAGGAAGTTACAATTCTTCTAAAGAAATATAAACATTAAGTTTGTATATATCATCCATGTTGTATATAAGATGTACAGAACTTTTGACCAGCTGAAGGAACAAGCTCTCAACTCGGTCAAGGACAGTCGTAATTTTAAAACACATTATGAATAAGGATTAGGATGACAGTGATGTACAAATGTTACAACAAATATATTTCTTATTAAAATCCTCATGATATGAACAATAAGCATGAAATGATATACAATGGATTCTGGTTAATTGGGACACATCAGGACTAGAACACTTTGGCTCAATTAAGCAGCTGCCCCAATTGTGCGAAGTTACACGTAAAGAGTTAAAATGGTTTGTTCTTTAAGATTTGCCCCAAATAAACGGCTGCCCCGATTAAACGACGGCCCTATTAACCGGAATCTACTGTACAGTGTGTCCGTAAAATAATGGTGGGGTAACAAAGAGTCATAGTTTTGGAACAAAGCACGATAGAGACATGAAATAAACTTCAAAATAAAGAGAAACTCTCCAAGAATCTTACCTGTTCAGTAGATTTCGATAAGCGCTCCTTTAGTTGCCCTGCAGACATCAAGACTATATTCAAGCTCTTGCCATACACGACCGAGAACATCCGGTGTGATAGATGAAACAGCTTAAGTGATCCGTTTTTTCAAGTGGTCCAAATTTATTATTTGGGCAGAGAACACTTGTTGCTTCACATAACTCCACAAATAAAAATCCATAGGGGTAAGATCTGGAGAGCATGGAAGCCAGGCTATCCACCCTCCTCGTTCGACCCTTCGCTGAGGATATGTTTGGTTTAGGTAATCCCGCACGAATGTGGCAAAATCTGGAGGAGCTCCATCTAACTGGAGAATGAGATTCTCCAGTATTTGGGGCACTGCAATTCAGGTGTTACATAAAATTTATCCACAGGACAAAATTAAACGATTCGAATTTGCTACAGACATTCTGGATAGGTTAGATTATGATGGGGAATTTTTAGACAAGTTTATGTTCAGAGATGAGGCTACGTTTCATGTTTCGGGATGAGTCCATCGGCATAATGTTAGAATATGGGGTAATGAACCTCCATATGTCATTATGGAACATCAACGTGATAGCCCAAAAGTTAATGTGTGATGTGCAATTGGACGAGACAGAGTTATTGACCCCTTCTTTTTTGCTAAACAGAAAGTGATGGGAAAGAACTTCCTGGATATGTTAGAAGGGTTTGCAGTGCCCCAAATACTGGAGAATTTCATTCTCCAGTTAGATGGACCTCCTCCACATTTTGCTGCATTCGTGCGGGATTATCTAAACCAAACATTTCCTCAGCGATGGGTCGGACGAGGAGGGTGGATACCCTGGCCTCCACGCTCTCCAGATCTTACCCGTATGGATTTTTATTTGTGGTGTTATGTGAAGAAACAAGTGTTCTCTGTCCAAATAACAAATTTGGACCATTTGAAAGAACGGATCACTGAAGCTGTTTCATCTATCACACCGGATGTTCTCGGTCGTGTATGGCAAGAGCTTGAATATAGTCTTGATGTCTGCAGGGCAACTAAAGGAGCGCATATCGAAATCTACTGAACAGGTAAGATTCTTGGAGAGTTTCTCTTTATTTTGAAATTTATTTCATGTCTCTATCGTGCTTTGTTCCAAAACTATGACTCCTTGTTACCCCACCATTATTTTACGGACACACTGTATTTGCAAAATGAGGTCAATTCTAGTTCTTAAAATATATAAAATTGAAATAAAACTTGTATGCAGTGACAGAAGCAGTTACTTGTAATTTGTATTAATATGGTAGCCTTTAATGTGTCTACATAAAATTTGTTAAGACTTGGGTTGGTCAATAAGATATAAGTATTCCAATTCAAATTGGATTTTATCAGGTATTTTTCTGTGAGTAGAGGCAGTGCCTATCCTGTAAGTGACGTGACCATGCTGTGGGACGTTAAAGCAATAGGCTGATGCAAGTCTTCGATTTAAGTGGAATATCCAAACATCCTGATAAATTTTCTGGGATAGACATTACATCAGATTTTTATATTATGAGTTATATTAAAACACTATCACACTGTGTCCACTTTTAAATTAAAGTCCAGCCTCCTGCACATAACATTACTACACACAAAATGTGGAAAAATATTAATTCCTCAGGTTACTGTGAACCACAAATTTTTTTATCAGAATTTGAGGTTGTCGTGGTTGTGAGTGTGAAGATGCCTGTCTTCTGGTTTGTTGCACGACGTAGGATGGTAAAAGGGAAATCAATCACCCTGATGACTGAAGCACTAAGTACCTCTGAAATGTTGGCAAATTTCTTCTAGACTACATGGTGCTACAACCCAGAAGACATCCATCATCATTCAATATTTTGTTGGGTTCCGAAGTGTCTGCAACTGAATATAATTAATTATGATTTATATAAAGTGTGAAAACATACTGTCATTATTTACATGTCTGGCTGTATTACAAAACAGATTAAAATGTCCTTATGAAATTTTTATGAAGAATGTGCCTTAAAATGAGAAATTTTTAAAAATAAAAGCAAGGTGCATAAATGACTGTCATTTGACTAGAATTGTCCATAATAGTAGACTGCACAAGGCATGTTCTTCATACTACATAATGTTTTACATACTAAATCAAAGTACACATCAGTATACTTGCATGTACGAGGGTGAGTCAAATGAAAACCGTAAATTTTTTTTTAAATTTAATTTATTGAGTGAAAGCGGTACACAACTATATCATTTTTCTACATAGTCTACATTTCGTTCAATACAGGCCCTCCAGCGTTTACGAAGTGTATGGATTCCTCTATAAAAAAATTCTTGTGGTTGTCTGCGCAACCACTCATGCACCGCCTGCTGTATCTCTTCTTTCCTCCCATCGCCTCTTTGAGTGGCCCAAACATGTGGTAATCACTTGGGACTAGGTCTAGTGGTTATGGCGGATGTGGAAGACACTCAAAGTGCAAGTCTTGGATTGTTGCAACTGTTGCACGGGCAGTATGGGGCCGAGCATTGTTATGTCAAGGACACCTCTAGTCAAAAGTCCACGTCGCTTTGATCTGACTGCAGGTCGAAGATGATTCTTCAAGATTCTTCACTGATCAAAAAACGAATTACAGAACGTTGTTCTTCTTTCGTGCACGTAACTAGTGGAGCAGCCATTTTCAAATTGGCACTGTGATGGCGATATGTTTGTCTGCATTATACTACCACCTATAGGATACTCTTTATAGCATTGGTAACATGTCTGCCAACTTATAGGACAATGGCGCGATATTTCGAATTTTTATCTCAGTTTTACGGTTTTCATTTGACTCACCCTCGTATATACAACATTGACTGTTGTACTGTGAAAGTTAGTGCTACTGCTTTGTGTCTGAGAGATACAGTTTCAATCCTGACAAAAATCAACCATCCAGACTGAATTTTTCATGTCAATGTCCACTTTCTCACCCATCCAATTTCAAATTATCATTCAGGATTGTCACCACATCTTTTTCTTATATCTAAGCAAACCATACAATTAAATAACTGAAGACAGTCATCTGTATTTTGAACATAAAGTGCCTCAAATTTGTGTGCCCAAATATCATTACTCTTTTCTGCTAAATAATGATGTATATATGTAAATTTCAAACTGTTTATGAGTGCATAATTCAAATAGTGGAATTGATAATATTAACCTTTATTGTCCTTGGATCACTAATACACAGTCGAGTTTAGACATATCGCATTAGCATATTGCTAAATCATTCACCATGGAGTTAAAGGCTGCTGATCAGCAGTTTAAATTGCCTTTTCCCATACAATAAGGGTTAAAGCTCTTGAATTTCTGAGACTACTTCTTCTTCTGTAGCACTACGGCCCTTTCAGTGTAGCCTTGGCTTCTCTTGCGATCGATGCTCAGTCTTCCCTATTCTGTGCTTTTCTTCTCCAGCCTCTTACGCCCATCTGTTTAAGATCAGACTCCACATCTTCGATCCACCGGAGTTTCTGTCTTCCTTTCCTTAATTTTCCAGGAGGTTTTCTACCAAAGGGGGTCATGTTTCCGAGGCCTCGTTTCAAGAGTGTCTGAACGTCATCTTTTTCCAGAATTGGGTTGTTAACCCAATGTCCAACCCCCATTTCTGGAACTACTAGTGTACTATTAAAATGCCAAGTGAATGAATAAATACATTAATGTACATGCTGAACCTGTGTTTGTCAAACAGGTCAGTGTGTAATAAATTTAATTTATTTTCCTTACTGTATCAAAATACTGACAACATAGAAGAGATAAACACTGTTTTACAATAGTTTAATAAAGCTCCTATACTTAGTGAATGCCCATAAATTAAATTGTTTTATAAATTTGATTACAAATACATAAGATAAATCCATAAGTATAAATATATTTAGGAACAAAAGGAAATTCATGCTGTAATGCATACCTGCTCATTGTTAAAAGTGAACGAGAAATATTTTGGCCAAAAAAGTATATACAGTATGTGTTTATGAATGAAGAATTATCAAACATGTCTGTGACATAATATCAATTTCTTTAAAAATGGTAACAAATTATAGACTACTAATGAAGATAAATGAAACAGAATTAATGATAATGAAATCATTCTAGACCTTCCAGAAACAGCTGTAGTCACTTTTGATTTGGTGGGCCAGGACTGCAACATAAATTTATGTTCAGGAATCTGTCTTGTGCAGAACAGGCTGCACTAAAGTTTCAGCTTTCAAGAGATCAGTCGAGGTTTTCATGGCAGTGAGAATGATGATATTCTCATGGGTTCCAGGGCCACGTACACTCGTCGGTTTGACATCAAGATAATTTGACTCGCTCAGGACCCCCTTATAATACAAATTCTATTGTATCGTGACTACCAGAGGGAGGTTTTCATACACAGGAAACTAATTTCTTCCAAATAATTGCAGAGTTCCACAGAATAAAATGTAATGCCAATCAAACTTTCAATAACAGATTTTTGAGCAGTGATATGCCATTTGGTTCCAGTGATACTAAGGATTTGTCACTCATGTTTTAAGGGAGGGATACAATCCAGGAACATTAAATATCCCTCATTTAAATTTCAGATAATTGAGCAGAAATCATTGTTGAGTACAGTCTTGTCCTGGTAAAAATCCAATGTTAGAAGGCATTTAAAATTCTTGCTTTCTGTATTAATCCAAGTTAAGGATGCACTTGTGAATAAAACCAGCTTCCACACTTGCAATTTTAATAGATTATAATCTTCTGGAGCATTTAAATGGAAATATATCCTTCAGATATTTATCTGCAATGAAGAGATAAGTTAGTTTTTTCTTTGCTAATTTGTGGGACAGTCAGGGCTTTAAACCTGGTACCAAGATTTGTGTGTACAACTTTACATCCATTCTACCTTAACCATGAAGGTGACAGATGAGAGTGGAAGTTTGAGACCTGTTCTGAGTCTTATGTACATAATTACTTATAGTCAATAAAAATGGAGAAGGAAGTGACTATAGTCTGTTTTGAAATAAAGCTCATACTTTGCAGTTCTAGAGGCATGTTCCTCCAAAAGGTAAATGTTTGTCAGCTATATGCTCATTCAGAATGAATAAATAATACAAATAAACTTGTTATATAAAAATCTATCCAATCTTCCAGTCTTGAATGCGCATGTAAAATAATGCCCTTCTATATGATCACTGGCCTTAGCTCTTCATCCATTAACCCTTTGTAGCTGAAGATCAAAATAATATTTAAAAATTCAGTTCCTACTTCAAAGAAAATGTCTCCGTTACAAAGATCAGGTGATTATGTTTAGAGAAATGATCACTTCCTACACCGAGAACCATTCAAAACCCAAAAATACACTGTGTGAAAAATTCAGAGTAATTGATTGCAAAAGCAGGTGGTATAGTTACCACTGGTTTTAAAAGGTTAAGGCTCATTGCCTGCATTTACCCCAGGAGAATGAGGTAAACCATACAGACCTTGAAATGTGTAGCATGATATTTATCTGTGCTCAAGCTAGTGAACTTCCATTTGCACAAGATACTATAATCCATTTCTTAATTTGAATGGTTACAAGAGCATTCTATATTAAAATAATATTGTTTTAATATTCTAAATTACATCTGCAGTGTAGTCCTACTCTCTTACTTCACTATGTTGTAAACAAAGTATAAATTATGTTCCTCGTAATATGTACACAAAACTGTCGTAGATCATAAATTATGTATTCTGACATTTCTGTATACAATATTAAATATTGATGTGTGAAAATTTGTTATTACAGTAGGAGTAAACAAAGTCTGCTGGCTGATGAATTTCAGATTGACTGTTGATTCAAAATCTGAAATATTTTCAAAGCAAACCAGCTTCTACAATTATTTAACTACAGTAAAAGCAAACATTCATTACAAATATTTGCTACGCTGATTTACATACTGCAAGTTATACAAATTTATCCCTTTAAAATCAAGTCATTCTGTAAATTTCCTTACACATGAGTAATAAGCTATAATTAGTGTATTATGAATGAGACAGAGAAAGAAACAAGCAATCAAAGAATGTTCAAAAATTTTAAAAGTATGTTATTACCGTAATTGTATATATCTTAGAAAGTAGAACAGAGGGCCATGCAAGCTGCCCATTTTTAGGACAGCTAACATATGGCCTTCAGGCAGTTTCTTATTTACCCAGAGATTCTAACTATATTGACAGAACATCACACCAAACCAGACATGCAAAAAGGAACAGACGAGACTGGTTCTGTACAGTATTCACACATGCCTATGCGTGTGTGCACACACATCACAGGGATTTTGTGTATATTTCAGAATTCTGTTGTTTTTAGTAATTGTTATAAAAGTCATCACAAATATGTTCTGGCATATGGAGAATATTTCATGTTACATACTTTGCTATAGCTGGATAATATAGAATTGAAGATGGCTGTCTTCTGGGTTGTTGCACAATGTAGTATAGTAGAAGTTTACCAACAATTCAGAGGTGCTTGTTGCATCCATCTTCAGGGTGATAGCCGTACTTAGGTATGCTCAAACAGTGTTTATGACCCTAGCTGAGTGAGAGCATCTACAGACCAATGCCACAGACCTTGACAGAGGTTCAAGGCCAAGTCTCAGATGTAGCTTCTCAAGTTGACACAGCAATATTACAGTGCACAGGAGGAATTTCAGTATTGTTTAGACACTTGTCGTTTAACTTGTGGCGCAAATACTGAACACATGAAAACAAAACTTGAAAGTATTTCTTCATATACACCAAGCTATTTGATTGTTGTTACTGAACTGGTACATTAAATATAACCCACAATAATAATAAATAATTTTGAAAAATCCTGTATATTTAAGAGATGGCACAATCATGCAAACTATTTCATTTTAAACATTTTCTATTCATGAAGACCATGGATGTCTCTCTTGTTCTTGTACAAGAGTAAGCCCTAGGAACATAAGCATTACATTTCACAGTGCAAAAAAAGACCATACAGTGCAGTTAGCTGTATACTATTTCTACTGTAATAAAATACATGATAAAAATATGGAGACAATATATTTGCTACTGTTGATCTTGATTATAGCATAAATCCTGATACAAAATGATTTCTTTCATACCTTCACCCCTCATTCACTTTTAATTCCTCTAATCCTTTTGAACCTTTACCTCCCCTCCAAAACACACCATTACAGAAGAACAAAGAAAACAGTGTGTTCAGTTATCTCAGTGTTTTCTGTGAGGTCCACTCACATTTACAGTGCAATAAAACATGAAATTGCTCCTAGATGTACCTAACAGCATGGCATCCATAACAAGTATCACTGTGCAAAAAACATACAATCTTTATTATAAGGGAAGAGGGTATTTAAATTCCTATATGTGGCTGCTGACTCAATTTTAACATAGGATTAAAATGTTTACTGTTGCGCTATTGCAGATGGACTGTATACAAGCCTTGATGCACAACCAATAAAGGATAATTCACATAATCATGTGAATGTAATTCTTATTTACATTAAAATACTAGGATGCAACACTCTTTTCACATTTATGAATACCATTATGTATACATTATATACCAACTAAAGTGCACTAACCTTTGTACAAACTGTACATCTTAAATTATTACATTATGTACCACTTGAAGTTCGCTGTCTTCTGGGTTGTTGCGCCGTGTAGTCTGGTTGATGTCCGCCGTTTCCTCTGAAACGATGGTGGACATCTACCAGACTACACGGTGCAACAACCCAGAAGACATCGAAATTCAAACTCACCGCCGTGAAAACCTCAAATCCTACATATGTACCACTTATTAAATAAAAATGCACTAGCCTTTGTACAAACAGCTCATACATTATTAATTTGCTGTCACTGCCCTTCATTATAACAACATTTGAATATTATGAATATAATCTGTCAGCCAACGAAGTTTGTTACACTAAGCTTTCATCATAGTGGTAATTCTTAATGAGAAGTGTTCTCAGCCCTTCTTTCCATGATCCAGAAATAAAGTGATGGAGCAAATGTTCGTATTATAATCGCAAGCCAAGGTGTAATAGGTGAGATAATCACCTCCTTCTTTCCTTGTACAACAGCAGACAATATCTCGTCTGCAACATACTCAGGTTTGTAACCATTTGCAATTTCACTGTCCATTTCTGCCAATATAAAACACGTAACATTTATATATAATTCAACTCACACATGTAAAAATGACAGTAATGAAAATATCCACTTATATTTTAGTAATAATACAGTAAACAGTTTTAAAATAATACCAGAGCACAGTAGAAGGAATATGAATGAATTTCCTTACCCTAAGCTGCGAGTTCAGTCACAGATAAAGTCTCAACTGTCAGTCAGTGAACAAATATTATAATTGATTTTAAAGATAAAATAAATATCCAGTACGAGTTAACTCTATGGAGTAAGTCCTTTTTGAGAAGCTAACAGTTTCTCAGCTAGTCAAGAAATGTGCCACATTTTAAGGGTACCAAAAGGTTCTTTACTGTATTCGCAACAGCCTATCACCACTCCCTATCCTGAGCCAAACAAATCTAATTAACACTCTCCTACCCCACATTCCCAAGAACCATCGTAATACCATCTGCCCATCTAATCCCAGATCTTCCAAATGGTCTCCTGCTTTATGGCTTCCTGACTAAACTTCTGTATACACCTTTCATCTCCCCTATACACAGGAAGTACAGCCAAAATATTAAAAATTAATTCACTTACTGCCAATTGGCATATAGGTCCTCTAAAAATTGTGCAGGTACATGCACCAAAAATAAGATACCAACTTACAATACTACAAATAAATGTAAAAAGCAAAGCTTTTGCAGTGACTGAAGTTGATGAAAGACTCTCGGGCTACAAGCAGCGTCAGGTGGTAGAAGATATAGTTTATTCACCTCTCAGCCACCTGACGCGCCTTGTAGCCTGAGGCTTTCGTCAACTCCAAATAATTATACACAATGAACACTTGCCTCCATGAGCTTCTCCACTTCCTGAAAGAGAATTGATTGACAAAGCCGTTGCAATGTACCCAGGACTTATTACAGACACCTTGATGTTGTACCTTGCTACTTCAGCTCGTAGTGAGTCACTGAAAGCCTGAAGGGCATGCTTCGAAGCCGTGTAAGCAGATCTGCAATTAATAACAACTTAAATTCATAGAGCTGTAAGCATGGACAAGGCAGGAGTTAAATTTAAGAATATTCTTCATAATTTTATCTTTACCTGTAGGCACCACATAACTCATTCAACTATACCATTCAATCAAATGTTACTGTATTTGATTCTTCTTCTTCTTCATGGCTCTCCGGTCCGTATTCGGTCCATGGCCTCCTCAATTATCTTCTTCCATTTGGTCCTCTGTTAGGTCCGTCTGTCTGAGGCTTTAATTGAGGTTTCAAAACATCTTCCTTTTTACGGTGCAAGGTTGTTAGCCTTGCGACCAACCCCCAACCTGGAGGACCAGGGTACCTGTCTTAGTCTGACCTCTCCCTCTCGACCAATCTGGCTAGGGAGGACCTACCAGTAGCTCTTGGGGTCACTGAGTACTCAAGCCCCACCATCACGACAAGGTGCAGGTACCATTAAGTGGGGCTATATTTGATTAAAACATTGGGTGCCTACTGCATTATCTTAAGATTTCATCGGAATCTTTCGATAAAAAACGGTCCAGCAGGAAGAACTAGCCTTGTTTAACAAGCTCAATACATTATGGACGTAACACAGAAAGCTAAATATAGGCTTAGCACAGTTTCAATGGTATCCAATGATCCTGTATGATGTCTAAGACTCAACTGCGTCGTTTAGCACATTATTGATAGGCAATGTATGAACCTTTTACATGGAAAAATAAGAATTACATAATAATAATATTCTCTTATTTTACTGACCATTACAACAGCAAATCTTCACTGTGTTCATAACAATGCAAATCACAATATTCAATAAAATGAATCGCCTACACCCACAGTTTTCTCTTAACAAATTTTACTTCTTTGCAGTGTTAACTTAAATATTTACCTGTAAGGTATTGCAATTCTGCCTTGAACACTGCTCACTGCCACAATATGGCCACTCTGTCGCTCTATCATGGATGGTAACAACGCTGTTCCAAATTAAATCAAAATCAATTAGCCACCATGTACATAATTAAAGCACATATTTACAGAATAAAAAATATATGAAACTTACCTTTTGTCAGAGCCAGCTGACCAAAATAGTTGACCATCATAACCTTAACAGCAACATCCACTTCGGTACTTAATACGTCACCCCTACTGCTTATGCCACCATTATGTACCAGAATATCTATACAGCCAAATATTTCCAGTGCCTGTTTAATATGATCAGGCAAGGAGCTCAAATCTGACAAATCCAAAGTAAGTATCACTGGTGGATGTGTTGGTGCAGTCTGAAATTAAAAGTAACAGGAATTTCAAATCATAAAATAGCATGTATCTTCAATGTATTTGTCCAAAGACACAAGGACAGAACACATACAAAATTTGAGGTCAATAAAATCTTCTCTGATGATCAGCCACGGCAAATGGTTAAAAGACGAAACCGACGTTTGCGGGGCCATCTCAGTCCCATCAGGTTTCGTCTTTTAACCATTTGACACGGCTGATCGCCCAAAATTTTTTTACTGAGTTACGTCAATGGTATTCAACCTGGGATACGCGTACCCCCGGGGGTACGCGAAGACATCTTTGACGATACGTAAAATTTTAAAAAAATATATGTGTTATTTTATGATAAACACTGAATAATCAGGGCCAGATTTTGGGTTAGCCACAGGAGAACCGGACGTAAGGACATTCGATTTGGGACCGCCATTTCTCTCTCTCTCTCCTTTATGCTATTCTTATCTGGGCGGCTAGTTACATTTTATTCCACATAGTGCTTTGGAACCTGACTGAACACTATTGGGCGGGATTAACGTTTACCCTAAAACTGTTTTTCACTTCTTTTAAACATGCAATGATGCACTCCTTCATATTACCTTGTTCTTTGACAACTGCCGCTGCCGGTAAGAGAAACATGGGAAGTGGATGCTGGTTTTATCACTCGGAAATGCCAAATGATGTTTTTGTAACAACACCAAAACATTTTGCTTAGTGACGTGTCGCGATATGAGTATACATACATGTAGTACGTTACCGGCTCTGCGAATAATGATCATTGTTTAATAATTTACTAAGTTAATTTAATTTGCTAGACTTTGCTGTTCCATCCTAACGTCTTTCTGTGGTGTTGTGAAATGCAGGTTCGGTTTGTTTACTTCTTGTTAAAACGCGGATCAATTGTAAGCGCATATTAGTCATCATTCACTCAGTTCCTTCTTGAAACCACGGCAGTAATCATTATTTTCATTTTCCGTATTGCAACATGGATAAATTTATTATAAAAAGGAAGAGTGAAATCGATGGAAAAGGTGAAAATGACGATAGTGTTGAGTCACAAACAATGAAATGTGCGATAGTTTCTGTTCCAACCTGTGATGTTATTGTGAGCAGTGTTGAACCATCTACAACACTAAAATCCCCAAAAATGTGACCAATCACGGTGAGTTTAAGGACAAGCTAGCTGAATTTTTCAAACGCAAAGCAGAAAACGTACGTAAAACTTCAAACGTAATACATAATTTTACACAATCATCAAAGGTGGCATTAGAGACATCGTATGAATTAGCATTGCTAGCTGCAAAAAATAAATCATCATATACCGCGGTAGAATCTCTCATTCTGCCTGGTGCTTTAATTATAGCCGATAAAATGCTAGACAAAAAAATCTCTTACCACATGCATAGCTAGCAAGTCACTCCTCACTCGCTCGAGTTCATTTTGACGCCTCGCTGCTAGTATAACACGACATCCAGATTTATAAAATGAATGTGCAAGAGATTCACCCAATCCTGAACTAGCTCCAGTTATCATAACAACCTGAAATTTTTACAACATTTCATTATAATTTTTAATTCTACTTTAAAAATCTCAAACTAGAAAAATAACAAACATTACATTTCACAGCATTTCTTTATGATGGAACTAGACGCAGAATGAAAACACACAGACATACATTCTGGATAGATAAAAGAAAAATATATAATATGCACACTTTCATTTCAGAAGTTACAATTTTGGCCATACCTTGTCTTTAAGTTTACTCCTTGCGTATCTTGAATGTATATTACCAAACACATTACCAAACAACTGGTAAATAAACCACGGAACTGATACAGTTAAAGAAACACATCCCATTATCCACCAAAATAGCGACCAGGTTTCTTCCTTGTTCTGCTTCATGTTTTTAGTGCTAGACCTATAATAAAAAAGTATGTATATGTCTGTCTATGACAAACATCTGGCAGCACTGGTGAGGTGGCACATACTGGAACAAATAAGTGCTTGCACCGCTTCGTATTGCAAAATTTGTCAGGTTCTTTGCTGAGTGATGTGACACTCCTCATAGCAAAACACGCTCAGCTTATTCTTATTCTGTTGCATGTCGCCAACAATGACACACTCAGATCAGTATATTTTGAATATTTTCACGCTATAATGAAGTACGGAATCATTTTTTGGTGTAATTGACCAAACAGTAAAAAGATATTCACTTTACAAAAGAAAATTATTATATTATTGGCTGGTGTAAAACCTGGAAATTCATGTAGAAGTCTATTTAAGAGATTGGAGATCTTAGCTCTTCCTTGTGAATACATATTCTCGTTAGTGAACTTTATTGTAAATAACCAAGAACTCTTTCAAACTAATTCTGCTGTACACAGTGTCAACACAAGGAATAAAAATATGCTTCATAGACCAGTTGCCAACCTCTCATGCTTTCAGAAGAGTACATATTATGCTGGGATCAAAATTTTCATCAAATCTCACAAATCTTATAAATAAGGAGCAATTTAAGGTAGCATTAAAAAGATACTTAATTACACACCCCTTTTATTCTGCCAATGAATATATGTTGTTTACAAATAAGTGATAAATTTTCTTCTGTGTAATGGGTAGATCTATTTGTAACTTATCATTTCTTTAGGTGAACCCTTTGTTTGTATTATGTGAAATTTATATAATAGTATGAATTGTACTTTATAATATGTACTGTATTATTATTATGACTTTTTCCACATCCTATTGTCATCTGACTGTCTTATGGATCCATGGAATGTAATAAAATATGTATGTATATGTGTAGGGATAATGTACTGAATATGTGTTTTCCAATTTAAGTTACTGTACACTTTCGGCCAAGAAATTTGGTTGTTTCTACTTTTTCAATTGTTTTACCCACATACCCTACACCTAGATTAACACAATTTTTGTTGGCAGTACAAAATTTCATGAAATTTGTTTTATCAAAATGTAGAGTTTATTGGTTTTAATCCATTTGTCAAGCTAGCAAAGACATCATTCATACAAATTTGGAAACAGTCAATTTCTGGGTGTGAAACATTAATATTAGCATCATCTGCAAAAAGTATGGATTTAGACTTAAGAGTAAAAGGTTGGTGGTAAATAGTATTGAACCTTGAGGAATGCCATGTTCTATAAAACTCCAATTGGAATAGGTGAAAAGAGTAAATGGATATTAAAATGAATCTTCAGAAAACAGGGTGCAAGTGAGTAGACTGGAATGGTATAGATGAGATAGGGACCAGTGGCAGGATCTTGTGACAATGGCAATAAACCTCTCCGTTCCATGAAAAGCAGGGAACTTCTTCATTAGCCAAGTGAGTATATCACTTTTTCAAGGACTCTACCCTAGTACTTAGCTTGGTCCGAATTTATGTCACTTACTTTTTATAGTCAACCAATTAATATTATCAAAAAGGCAATTTAAACAGTTCCCTTTTTCACAATGCTGCACTACCTCAACTGCATGATTTGCAGTTACTTTCAACTACACTAACGCCCCATAAACCCCTTACGGAATTTCATGACACGTAAATCAGTTCCATGGTACTTCATGTACAGGCTGTCCACCGGCCACGAGAAAATCCCTGCAAGGGGAAGTCGCTTCTGTGCGGTGCATGGGGAATGTTTACTATCAGTGGACTAGAGGGTTGCTATTGGTGGGAAGTGTGGTACGTCAGTTTTTTACACTACTGCACACAAACTGAAAACATAAGCAGTTAAGGGTAGCGTGTAATGAGTGCACCTCTAATGTGTTCTGTGGGTGTTGCGATAATATTCTAGATTAAATCAGTGTGTCACTGTGAGGTAATCTTAAAGCTCAACCCATTAGAACACATGAAAGCCTGTTGTCTGTCGTTCGTTCAGTGGTTGTTGAATGTATGCTTTTAGGATGGATCGTCACTCACCGCAAAATCTTGCGCATGCGCGTTTATCGAATTCGTAGCAGGGATTTTTTTTTTAGGCCTGTGGATTGTACATTCCATTTTAAGTCATCCAGACCTAAGATTTGAATAGCATAGAATAGAATAGAATAAAATAAAATATATGCACATATAGATCCTTCATAGGCCTATGCCACAGGTGTAGAACATATTATAGCACAAATACAATACTTGTATCTAATAGAAATGCAAATTACACAGCAGTGACAGTGCTGTACAGTCTACTACAGCATTACAGTAAAAATAATTACCAAAAAACACCACCACCATCCCTTACATGTGGCTTGGCTAACCTAATGTATTATGTTGTAGGTTTGTTATGTGTGTGTTCGTAATCTGTGCTTCTACCTCTGATGCACAAACGTCTAAATCTTACAGCTTCAAATGTTGGTATTCCTGCCGACTATTGTGTATGGTTCCACGTGTGTTCGTATTTATCATCCTGCATGTCTGTGACTGTCTGAAGTTGATATTTAGTTTACTAATATGGGGAAGAAGAAACTTGGAAAACAGCGTAGAGATAAATACTATCAACTAGCAAAGGAAACAGGTAGGTTGCGTTTTTAAGTTCATCTCAAAAATATGTTAGGTTAAGTTTGTAAGAGCCATTGATTACTGTTAAATATGACTTCCACATATTTCAGGTTACAGATCCCGAGCGGCCTTTAAGCTTATACAGTTAAACCGTAAATTCGAGTTCCTACAGAAATCTCGGGTATGTGTCGACCTATGTGCAGCACCAGGTGGATGGATGCAGGTTGCCAAGCAGAATATGCCTGTTTCCAGTGTCGTTATAGGTACGCAACAAATTTCTTTAGGAAATTGCTATATAGTACCACTGTTTCATTATGTAGTGACAGCTGAAGGAGGAGTTAGTAGCATAACCAGACATAATGCAATAGAAGAAGTTGAAGAACCAATTACTTATTCACTGAGAGGTAGGATAGACTATGACCAGCAGAACCTGAAGCTTAGAATGCTGCCACTGAAATATAATTTTCTGATTTTAAATTAGCCTTCACCAATGTTGATTTAAAAATTGCAATAAACAAAAAAAAAAACCGTTTGCTGAACGTCATGTCAGAAACTACTAGTCTTAAGGTAGTTTAACTATCTTCTGCAGGTTTTTAAAGCTGTTTCTTCATAGTAAAGAACATAGGTTAAGTTAGATTATCGATTTGTTACAGTGTTTTTCCTGGCACAGCTCTTCAGTCATAAACACTGGTTTGCGCTCAGTGTGTGCCACCTTACAGATACATTGCATTTAATTTGGTGTTTCAGTTCTCCAGTCTCATATGCCATAAGAATTTTTAATTAAGTACAACATAAAGCAAGTAAAGCCATCCCAAAACATGCCATGTAGGTTGTTTGGGGGAGTGGAGGTAGAGCTCCCACTCATGATTGACCTCGGCACTAGATGGGGGGGTGAGTGTTCAGTATCACGCCCTGGCCGCACTTTACCTCGGTACCCATTGGATAGGAGTCTGGGTGGGCCCCAGAGCCAGTATGGATGCAGAAACTAGAGGAAAAATCCTCTGCCCTCGTCGGGGATCGAACCCTGGTCATCCAGTCTATAACTAGTCACTATATTGACAGCTAATGCGGCTCCATTAAGTACAACATGTCTGAATTTTTTTACATTATTCAGATATTTGTTTAAAGGTTACTTAACTTGTTTCAGGTGTGGATCTTTTTCCCATTAAGACAGTTCCAGGTTGCGTTTCTCTGCAAGAGGACATAACCACAGATAAATGCAGAGTTGCTATTGAAAAAGAACTTCAATCATGGAAAGCTGATGTTGTATTAAATGATGGTGCACCTAATGTCGGTACGTTCATAAATTCTGTTTCTTTGTCTCCACCTTTCCACACCATGAGAACCTAGCAGAGGTAATAACATAAGTAGTATTTGGAGCCATATCTCATTTTAATATTCATGTCATTCTGTGTACTGTTTAAATAAGGTTTTTATTCTTTTAGTCGTGGTTCTAAGTTACGTTGCATAATCTATATCTTAATGTTCATTATGTGGCCATCTGCCAAAGTGATATAGACATAAAGGTCTACATGGCATCACAACCCAGAAAACCAACATCAGTATCTTGACTGCCATGAGAATCTTAAATCTAATAAGATAACTGATTTTTTCAGGTAAAAACTGGCTACATGACGCATATCAGCAGGCATGCCTCACTCTGAGTGCTCTGAAATTGGCAACTCACGTTCTTCGAACTGGTGGCTGGTTTGTTACTAAGATATTTCGTTCCAAGGACTACCAGCCATTAATCTGGGTGTTTAAACAGCTCTTCAAGAAGGTAATATATTCTGTCTGATTCATTCTGCATAATGTCAGTTCATGTCGACATAGAGCATTCCTTATCACAGTAATACTTGTAAACTTCATGAATGTTTTGATTATTGGCACTTTGAAATAACTTACCAAAATAGGCAGTGACCACTTCCTCATCCATCGCACATATTTAGTGTCTTATCTCACTTGATGCTGAAATTGACACATCTGCATAAATAACCAGTGAGATGATGATGTTTCAGGTACACGCAACAAAGCCTCAAGCATCACGAAGTGAATCTGCGGAAATCTTTGTGATATGTCAAGGATACAAAGCGCCAGATAAGTTGGATCCACGCTTTCTCAATGCAAAGTATGTGTTTGAGGAGCTAGACGTGGAGCCCCAGAATAAGCTTAGTATATATCATCCCGAGAAACAGAAGAAGGCAAAACCTGAGGGTTATCCTGAGAATGACTACACCTTACATCACAAACTGTCCGTCACAGAGTTCATTGCCAGCGAAAGTGCTGTGGATACATTGCAAAGAACTTCAGAGGTCAAGATATAAATTTAACCTCAATATATTTAATAGTAACTAAAACTAATGAAGTTTAATAATTACGTAATGTTTCATTCTTATGCTAGGATTCTCGCTGTGGGATGCAATTAGTAGTTTTAATCACAAAACACTATTGGCTTCATACTTCAAGTATGGAGTATGGCACTGATCGATACTTTTCTCTTCGTCTTCTTCTTCTTCATATCCAGTACACACCATTCAGCATGGTGTGCATTGGTGGTTAGCAGGATTCATGACCCATCAGTACATGGGTTCGACCGGGACCGTGACATTTAACGCTTCTGCTGTGACCCCCTTTTTGCGAAATGATGATGAAAATGGAGTAATTGTTGGAATGCCACAGAGAAACCGGGGAAACCCCGGAGGAAAACTCCATGATGCCTGGACCACAGCATTGCCCGCCACAGGTTGTAAATCTGAGCACCGCCGGGAATCGAACCTGGGACCCCAGTATTACAAGCCCAACGCTAGGCCACCGTGAAGTGATACATTGATTAATTGGTTAGAGTTCCAAGGGAATATGCAGTTTTGTTACACAGAGGGTTTTATATAGTTTAGACAAGTTTTATATTTACTTATTTTATGGAAATGTATGAAATTAAGGTATATTTATCTGTGCAAAATTGTGAAAAAAAGTTACTACAAGTTAAATATATTTAAATAAAATTTTAATAGCTTCAGTCCTCATAATTCAAAGTTTTTATTCTGCAGTCCTTTAGATTATGAAGTAATGATGTTCTATTTATTTACACTGAAATTTCCAGTTCCAAGCAACGTGGATGTTGACAAGCGAGTAACGTATCGCTGTCTTGGAAGTGAAACTTTGGTAGTGTCTTTAAATAAACTACAAATAAATAAAGAAATAGCATTGGCAAGGGCTGAGTCAATATAACAAACCCACTTCTATGCAATAAATGTTATAAATTTAAAAAAATACTCGTTATTCGTCGTGATGCACTTATGGGAGACTGATGCTGTATGTGTACAAATAAGTTTTTATCACATTCTACATTTGTCTTTCTTAATATTAGCATTCTTTTAAAACATAATGGTTGCTTCATAGATTGTGATGGATGATCCTGAGATAGCAAATCATCCTCTGACAACTGCAGAAATCAAGGAGTGCTGTAAGGACATCAAAGTATTGGGTCGTAAGGATCTCCGAGCTCTTATGAACTGGTGGAAAGCTATAAAACAAGTGAAAACTGAAAATAAGCCTGAGAATGATGAGAAGACCACAGGAAATGAAGAAAAGGTATATTGTTTTATAGGAAATTAAGAGAGGAGTTAAGGAAAATGAGTATATTATATAGTAGAAGTCTGAATGCATAAAATTCCTTTGCTTACATAAAAAAAATATGAAACAACTATTATTTAATTTCAATTTGCAAGTCTTTGTGACTCGAGGCTGAAAACATTAAGCGCGTTAGACTTGGAGAGAGTTATTTGTTGAAGTATTTCTTCGGATTTGGGCAGACCTCACCCCCCTCATGCGTAGAGAGACATACAGAATAGAAGAGTTATATTTATAGAGGTGTGTAGTTGCATAGAGTTTAGGAAACTCATCTCACAGACCATACTCATTAACCTAATGATTAGGTTATAGATACTGTGAATACATTTTACAAGCTTACCAAGTAAATGTAATTAAGGATGCTTTAATTTTAAATCCATGAACGTAATGACATATTCTGATGTGTGGTTGCTCTTTTGTTTCAAAAATGTAAATCACCTTTTTGCTATTGAAATCTTTACCATTTCCATTTGCAATGTCAACTGTTTCTCCAGCTAGGAAATCTTGATGTGGGGGGTGGGGATTTAAATATCTCTGAACTTATGAATACTTATTCTGGTTTTTAAGGAGTTCAAATTATTTATACTAGATGGCAGCATATGCCAAATTATTCAGTAATTTGTTGTCCATTTGAAGCAGCGAGCAGCAATGTATGGCCAGAGAAATATGAAAATAAATTTTTTTCATGATATGTTGACTTATGTAATAACATAATCTGTGGTGTAACAGCCCTCTGAGAGCCAAAGCCGACTAGCTTGACTGCTGGCCTCACGTTCACATGCCTAAGCAGAGGTGAACGATCATCCAACCAGATATAGGATGATGTGTGGTCAGCACGACGAACCCCCAGCCATTGCTAGTTTTCATGACCAGATTACGCTACTCATTGTAGCTCCCCAATTTGGCACTGGTCCCATACACTGGTCGAAAATCTCATGAGAAATTTCTTTCCCGGAGACTTGAACCAGCGCGCATTCCGTATCACTGGTCCGAAGCATGATGCCTCAGACCGCGCGGCTATGGCGCGGGACTGTTGACATATAACGTGGGCACATTTTTAATGCAGCAATTATATATGGACATTAGTTGGAAAAGGGTTAAGTGACTTATGTTCTAATCTGTGCAGGAGGAAGAGAAGAAAGATGAAAGCGAAGAGGATGAACATGACTTGGAAGAATTATCCCGCCAAGTGTCTGAACTGCAGGAGGAAGAAGTTCGAGCTTTGAAGAGGAAGAGGAAACAGACGAACAAAGAACGCAAAAAACTACAGGATCGACTCAATCTCAAGATGGTTCTCCGAGGTGATGAAGGACCAAAACTTGAGAGGGATGACATGTTTCAATTGACGCAGATTGAGAGTAGCAAGGTTTGTTACAACTCGAAATATGTTGACTCTTTCATGAATTTAAAATACGGCTACATATGACTGCATTTCAGATGTGAACCTCAAAGTACACTGTAATTGAGAATATTACATTAAGCTGTAATGCAGTTTACTGACTTCAGATTTCAGCTTGTGCACCAACTATCATAATGTTCTGTTGTTTTTTGTAGTCCTTCCAGGAAAATAAATACCAGAATAATACCTTTAAAGGAGGTAATGACTGCTGTCTTCTGTGTTCATTCTTCATGCATGATTATTCTTTCTTCTTATTTGATATGCAATCTTTAACCTGAAGCATGTGTGAAAATTTTTAATCTGCAGTGTGTCTATTAAGCCCCTATCTAATTTGTTGAAATAAAACCAATTTAAGATAGGCCTAAACAGTGGTTTAGTGTGAACAGAATTAGCCAATATAACTTTTGCATTGTAGCAGAGATTGCTCTTGAAACGTTGGCAGAAGATATGGTTTATTCACCATTCAGCCACCTGACGCAGCTGGTAACCCGAGAGTCTTTCATCAGCGTATATTATGTCAGCTTATCTTTCTTGTGTGACTGTTTTTCACATCCTCAAAAATACAAATTGTTAATTTCTGATTGTTTCCTCTGTGATTTATTTTATGTATCTAGGCGCTCGAGAATATAACTGACAATACGCCAGACATACTAGCTGAATCAGAACCTGAGTCAGATGATGAACTCCCTAAGAAACCAAAGTATGTAAGGTTTGAGAAGGATGGTGGTGATCATCTTGATAGTTCTGGAAAGTGAGTACAAGACATTATCTGCACTGAGACAGTGGCTTATGTTGGTTATTTTCTGTCCGTCTAATCTCCAAACAGAGGTATAACACAAGTATTTGTTTCATAATGCTGAATAAGGATATTAAACTTCATGATGCGGGTGTCCAAGATAAATTTGTTCTTCTTTTTGGCACTACAGTTCAAAGTTGAACCCTGGCCTTTTCAATCTTTCGCCTCCGAGTTTTGAAACAGATCTTTTTTTACGGAGTGAGGTTGTCAGTCTCACGCCTACCCCTCAGCAGTGCTGAGGGAGCGATGTTTTTCTGTCAGGGTTGTCTCCCTTAGCTGGCCGGTCCCAGTTTGAAAGCGTCAGGAACTCGCTTGTTTGCCCTTACAAGACTTAGCCGTTCAAACATTTCCCAGGAGTCATGACTTGGACATGCATGCATCGGACTTGGTAGGAATGAATGGCATTTCCCGAGTTTTAATGGTACATATCTGCCAGCAGGATATGTACCCTCGAGACCACATACTACCCTTCTAAGATAAATGGTTGCTGTAAAATATTATTTGGTCGTCATTGTATCTGGTTACAATTCCAGTTTCCACACTTGTCTGTCTGCTCATTTAGCCGTTCACATTCCATCTTTGTATCTTAAAGAATGTGCACATGTCCTCCTCTCCTCACACATTCACTCATTCACAAGCACCGGCAGAAGGCTTCGTTTGGAATCTTCCGGAGTTCGGCTGTCGCATTCGACACTGCTGGTTGTGCAGCAATTCCTCACCGAGAAAAGCATTCCCGTCATCACCCAATCACTGTACCCTCTGGATCTTGCTCCGAGTGACTTCTGGCTGTTTCCTACTCTGAAAATGGGCCTCAAAGGGACGCATTTCACAACCATGGAGGACATCAAATCGAATGCGACGGCAGAACTCCAGAAGATTCCAAACGAAGCCTTCCGCCGGTGCTTCCAACAATGGCAGGATCGATGGAGCAAGTGTGTATGTGCGCAAGGGTCCTACTTTGAAGGTGATTAGGTAAGCGTTGCCATATGTCCTACCATTACAGTGCTATACCACAATTCCGGGAACTTTTTGACTGCCCTACGTAAATTTGCTTCTACTGAACCAAGAATTAATTTCTTTGCAGGTTCTATAAACCAGATGACATGAGTGATCTGGAAGAAGACAGTGATTCTGAAGATTCTGATGACATTGAAAAAGAGGGTTTGGGTAAGTTAAAAGAGCCAAGCCACGGCCATATTTTGTGGCCCATATGTAACGTGTATTGTACTCTATTGAGCTGAAGTCACAGAGTAATTTACTGCTGGAAGTATGTTTATGTCAGCTTTATGTTTGTAAAACTCATACATTCTGATTAGAAAATAATGTCGTTATTGTGGATATATGTCATCCACTTTGTCTCCATGGCCACAAGGTCCAGGTCGTGGGTCCCAGCCTCTTGGATACTGGGATCACAGGTTAAAATCTTGCTTAGTCTTTTCTGTGTTATGCTGTCCTGTGTAGGCGAAGACCTTGTGATGGGTTGATCACCCATCCAAAGAGTCCTTCCAAATGTCTAAACTGATTCATAATTTGAGAGGTAATTCTGAATTGAAACGGACCACGAGGCCATAAAAGTTGATGGTGATGACTGCCATCCAGGTGAAACATTTCCAGTTTAAGCGGCCCATCCACGTACGAGTCTGACTTGTGAGTCTGGCTCGGCGAGCTTGACTCGTGAGCCGGGCTCGGATATATTTCACCACACATGCGTAGCAGACTCGGCTCGTGACACCCCACCCACAAACGAGTTTGGCTCAATGGGACCCGAGCCGGACTCGCAAGCCAGACTCATACATGGATGGGCCGCTTTAGACGTATTCTGTTGATTTGTGGTAACTGTAGAAGTGGTTGTCATCTGTACATAAATATACCAGATATGCTGGGATGAAGATTTGTATTTGGGAGGTACTTAGTTCAGATCCCTATCACATCGTATTCACTACAAACCTTCATAGAATTGTAAAACCAGTAACCAGCCTGTGTGAATAAAGATTTTAAAGCTCGTTTCTTTAAGCGTTGGTCATAAGTTATAAGTGCCATGTGAACTGAAGGGGAAATTAGAATTTGTCATGTCCACTGTGGGCTATATTCAAATTGCGATGTCATTTGATTTGGTAACTAATTATTTAACTCCATGGATTAGAGTCTTTTAAGTACCCATACCACACCTCTGTAACTACTGAGAATCAGAACAATGTTCGTGACATTTATCGACTGGGAAAGACCTCAGGAATAAGATCTTGAAGTAATGACTGAAATCACCGGAGATTCTGTATAAGTTTAAGTCTGGTACAGGTTTTATCAGTATATTAATTATTATGGATTGAGGCTGTGTAAGGATGAATGTTAACAGGTCTCAGTAATAGTGATCAAGAAAATGAAGAAACCGACCCAGCAGCGAGTAGTTTGAAACACCAGCGAGAAGAGAATCCGCTCCTGACTGACCTAGATCCCAGGAACAAGAGGGAAAAAAAATCACATAAAGCTCAGCTGTGGTTTGAAAAGGTACATTTCACTCAAATGGTATTTTATGTGCCTGTAGTGTGTTCTCAGCAAAGTGAAAATTAATTCATATAAATTATTCTATTTATTTTGTATGTAAGCAAGTCTCACTTGAATTCTAATTGGACTTAAAGACTTTGTATACCATATTTATGTGCAGAATTTTTGGTCATATTATCTCCATGGAGCATAATCCTTGAGAAACTAACAGTCACTCTACTGAGCAAGAAATCCCCACCTTTTATGGAACCCAAAGGTTCATTATTGTGTGGTCCTTATCCTGCGCCTGATGAAATCATTCCACACCTTTGTATCCTATTTTTTTAACATTCTTTGTAATGTTACCCTCTAGCTGTAACTAAAGCAGCCCATCCACATACAAGTCTGGCTCGGCTCGGGTTCCATTCAGCCAAACTCGTTTGTGGGTGGGGTGTCACGAGCCTAGTCTGCTATGCACGTGTGGTGAAATATATCCAAGCCCAGCTCACGAGTCAAGCTTGCCGAGCCAGGCTCTCAAGTCAGACTCATACGTAGATGGACCGCTTAAGTCTCCGTCATCTATTTCCTTCAGCTTTTCTGGCTAATGTCCATATGCACTTCTCATTACTCCAGTTTGTGCTACATGCCTCACCCATCACATATTCCTTGAGTTGATCAGCATAATATTTGGTAAAGAGTACAAATTTTGAAGCTCCTCATTATGTAATTTTTTCTAGCCTTTCTTCATTTAGGCAAACAGCCTCGGTCATTGTCTTTCCCTTAATGTCAGAGATAATATTTCAATCTATTTGTCATACAAATTGTTTGTAATTGTTAGGCGTTCTTTACAGTTTGACCTTTGTCTATCTGTCTGTCGCATCTTCCATCCATCCGCTATTTGTGTTGTCATTTACTGGTAGCCTTATGAACTGTATGATGATGATTGTTATTATTTTTAAATTATGATGGTGATAATTACTACCATCTATAAGTTGCTATATGAACTTCAGTAGATTCCAGTTAATTGAGCCATCAGTTAATCGGGGCAGCCGTTTATTTGGGACAGATCTTAAAGAACAAATCTTTTAATTCTTTACGTGAAACTTTGCGGGGTCCGCAGTGGCCGCGCGGTCTGAGGTGTGGGTCTTGTGCCACTTGGTCGCAGGGACCGTGGGTTCGAATCCCACTCAAGCCATGGATGTTTTTCTGTGTTGTCCTGTGTACAGGTAGAGGCCTTGCGACGGGCCAATCCCTCGTCCAAGGAGTCCTACCGAATGTCCATAGATCAACCCGTAGAGGGTACCGGAAAATGTACAAACATTGTTAAACCGGAAAAAGAAGAAGACGTATAACTTCGCATAATTGGGCCAAAGTGTTCTAGTCACGATGTATCCCAATTTACCGGAATCCCGTGTACTTGTTGTGCCGTCTACCAGTGGTCATATAAAGCCTTTCTGTGAAGGCTAGAATATAAAAGGAAAATAGCCTTATGATATTTCTGAATTACCGTGATAATAGCGATGTGGACGTTTGTATATTTCCAGTTTCTCTGATGTTTGTGGTCTGACATCAGAACCATCTTATACCTGGCTTTCACGATGTTATGCAACATGGATGCACAGAAACACACAATTTTTTGTTTTGCTGCTCAGGAACAGTGTATATGCATATATTCGTTATTACGGTACTTGTGGGTTATCGGGACATGAAATGGGGGAGTCAAATATCTGGAGTTAGATTGACACTGAAAACTGCGACTCCTTTCAAACATGTCAACATATTTTTATTGTACTGATACCGTTTAACATATTACCTGGATAGAACAGTTGCTGTGGAATAAACTAACATTTGTACCAATGAATCGGAAACATTTTTGGGTACTTGTGGGTTATCGGGACACATCGCTTTAAAAATAGGTTAGGTTAGGTGTCATTTATTGAAATAAAATATAATAACTTTCAAGTATATGTCATTTATCCACACACATTAACCTAACCTAACCTATTTTTAAAGCTATGTGTCCCGATAACCCACGAGTACCGTTATTGCTTTTGTAGGATATCTTCAAGAGCTTGGAAAATGAAGCAGATGAAGATTATGAATTGGATGAAATGGTGGAGGAGTACAAAAAGAAGGGTGGAAAGATAATTGGAGACATTAAGAAAAATAAAGAAAGCATGAAGCCTGAATATGAAAGTAGTGATGATGAGAATATAGACGAAGATGAAGAAACTGGTTCAGAATCAGAGACTGATTTTCAGCCAGAGAAGAACAATACGAAGCTACCAACGGAAGGAAAAGCAGGATTAGAAGTTGTTGCCAAAGATGGAGGTAAGTTAAGGTGTTTAATACATTTTTTGGGTGTTTCTTACAATAAATTCATGGATATTAATGAAGTGTAGTTGAACCAGTCAGAACAGGGCAGAGCTAATGTTACTGTGAAAAATGTTCCCTGTTCACCTTCTTTTTTTGAGGGGGGTGGGGTGTTTGGGAGGCATAGGAATAGATGAAGAAATTTTAAAATCATTGTTAGATAAATAAGTGGAGTCCAATGGCAGGTTTCTGAGAATAATGCCTCCATCCTGTGGAATCAGGGCGTGGGTTAATGTTTATTAATTGGGATAATAATGCTTGAAAAGCATCATCCCTCTACTTGTAACATGTCAGCTGATGTTAATATAATAGCCAGAACTCTTTACTGACATTTAACAACAGACTACTCTATGATTTTCTGCTCCCGTGTTTGCGTTGCGGGTCTGAAAGTTGGGGACCCGTAAAGGGTACCGGAAAATGTACAAACATTGTTAAACCGGAAAAGAAGAAGAAATATTCGGTTGTAACATAGAAAGTAGGACCCATCTGTCAGCAGTTTCTGCTGATTTCACTCTTTGTATATATTTTTTATTGTTTCCATTTAATTTGCACTGACAGAACGGGTTGGTGTTGCAATAATGCTGTAGTTTTGTATTCAGGATGTACCATAACTGATTTGAATTCTTGGCTACTCTGAACAAAGTTTTAATGTTTTTCTCAGCTTCTTCCAACAGGGACTGGTGGCAGGCTGTTGCGAACATGGTAATGAACTTGCAGGTTCCATAAAAGGCACAGGATATCACCTTTACTTATGTGTATTATCTTCTGAAGAAGAAGTCTATGTCGTGGAGATTGTTAGTAAATTCTTTTATGATTTCAGCTGCGCCAAGCCGCAAACGCAAGCTGAAACTTGATGAGGAAGGATTGGCATTGGGGACTCTTATGGTGACTTCCCATAAGAATAAACGCAATCTGATAGATGGGGGGTGGAACCGATATGCTTTCAACGATGACAATCTTCCAGAATGGTTTGTTGCAGATGAAGACAGACACATGCGAAAGGAAGCACCGGTTCCAAAGGTATGCTGAGTAGTTATTGTTGTTCCTTGGCTCTACAACCCATTTATGGGTCTTTGCCGCCTCATATTCGGAGGTTTTCTAGTCTTCGAAGTGCGCATTTGTGAGCGATGAGTGACGAGCCCACTGACTGCACAATTTCTACTCAATCTTGATTTGACTGCCAGTGAATTAGGAGACTTGGGCGAGAAATGGCCACTGAATTTTGCTTACGAAACATCTTGTTCATGTTCGTAAGGTTCTTTTGCATGCTGTAAATCTACGATATGGGACCGCCAGTTTTACTTCCTTCCGAAGGAAGGTTTGCTATGGATTTTAATCACCGTTAAAAATCCATTGGCCTCGGTTGGGTTTGAACCTGCGAACCTTGCCAAGCACGCTAACCACTAGTCGACCGAGGGCAACTATACTGGGTTGCTTCTCAGAGATGATGTTCCTTCCAAGTTAAGTTACTAATATAATTAAAAGTTTACTTCATTTTTAATAATTTAATCTGTTCTTGTCCACTCCAATTCCTTTTGCATACAAAATCTGCATGATTCTTACTAACGATGAACATCATTACTTTGCACAGGAGCTGGTGTCCGAGTATAAAATGAAGTTACGCGAATTGAACGTCAGACCAATCAAAAAGGTGATAGAGGCAAAGGCTCGAAAAAAGAAGCGTGCTGTCAGGAGACTGGAACGTGCAAAGAAGAAGATGGAAACTCTTATGGACAATGTAGATGTGTCTGATAAAGAAAAGGCTAAACAAATCAGAGAGTTAGTATCCCGTTGTTTTGCATTTTTTACATTTTCAGTTTCATCTACTCTGGTAAATTGCTGTAACTGCATACGTCTGGAGACTGCCAAAAATGCACTTGTCTTACGATATTTCGGTATAATGAAAGGTATCGTCCGCGAGGCACGAGAGTAGACGTGGCCTTGTCGGCCGTTGCTTGTGTGGCAGGGGTAAAGTGGGTTCTGCTCACGCACTGGTGATGTATTCCTTACCTAAGAACATTGTGCTATCAGTACATTAGCACATTAGCTCACGACATACGGGCTGCATAAGCTGCGGTTGTTTTTCGGTCCGCTTGTAGCACAGAATTCTACTCCACCTCCCTCAAATATGTCAGGTCTACTCTCGTGCCTCGCGGACTATACTTATCCTTTCTGTACCATAAATAATTACCATATTGTCGTCCATAAGCTTCATCAGTGGAAAATGTGTGTGTGTTCAACTTTATCAGTGAATACAATGCAGAATCAAACACAGAGAAAACAAAATATATGTTCATGTCTCAGCATCAGAATGCAGATTAAATCATGACAAAGATAAATCATTCCTCTGGAACGTGTAATTGTTCAAATACTGATGAACAACAGTAACAAAACTATTTTTTCTGAAAGACTGCTGTCATCCAGATCAAAATCTTTCGATTTTCTGTCTTCTGTCTAAAAACATAAGGATTAAAGAATAAAAATAAAACATACGTAATTATATCTAGCGGTTACAACGCTGGGCTTGTAATACTGGGGTCCCGGGTTCGATTCCCGGCGGTGCTCAACTTTACAACTTGTGTTGGGCAAGGCCGTGGTCCAGGCATCACAGAGTTTTCCTCCGGGGTTTCCCGGTTTCTCCATCGCATCCCAACAATTACTCCACAGCAGGAGCGTTAAATGTCGCGGTCCCGGTCAAACCCATGTACTGATGGGTCGTGAATCCTGCTAACCACCAATGCACACCAGTTGAATGGTGTGTACTGGATACGAAAAAAAAAATTAGCATTAAGGTTGACGGTAATTGAGATGGTCCTGAAGACAGTATTTGGACCCCGAGAGGGAAAATTGTGGGAGGTTAGAGAAAACTGTATAATGATGAGGACCTCCATGATTTGTACTCTTCACCAGATATTTGATGACAAAATGAAAGCATGAGGTGTAAGTCATGTAGAGCACGTTGTCAAGATGAGAAACGTTTGTAATTGTGGAAGACCTGGATGGATGAGATCAATTGCAAGAAACGCGGACAATAGTGTTAGAATGGATCTTATGCAATTATGTAGGCGAGGTTAAGAATCAGTGGTCGGCTGTTGATAAAACAGTAGTAAACCTTTGGGTTTTGTAACAGATAGAGATAGCTGCATGACTGTCAGTGTCTCAAGAAGAATTCTTCTCCGTGGAGTTATTTATATTTTATTGTATGAGTAAAATGTTCTTCTAAAGAGCATTTATTTACAAGTCGGTGATGGCTTTAACTTTTACTCAGAAAGTAAATTCAGTAAAAGCAGGACAAGTTCCAAAATTTTTGTGAAATGGAAAATGTTGAATTTTAATTTTCAAAACTGATAGACCACTATAATATTCTGATGTTTTACATCTAAGATTTCATCATTTTGGATGATGTTTCAGGTTGTACAAGAAAGCCAAAGGAAATCGCAAGAAAGAAATTACGTACGTGGTATCCAAAAAGCACACGGCATCGAAAAGGACTCGGCGTCCACGCGGTATCAAAGGACCGTACAAGGTTGTCGACCCAAGGATGAAAAAGGACAATCGTCGAGTAAAGATGTCGAAAAATGGAAAGAAGCGTGGCCAAGGTCCTGCGCCTCCAAAAGCGAAAAGATCGGCGAAAATGGGCGGCAAAGCGAAGAGATGAACTGGCTATTACGAGAAATTCAGTATTTCGATGCCAGAGTGAGGTAATCCTTACAGAATATGGGCCCTGTTACCGAAGTTGTATTTTATATAGCAGATTAAAGTCTGGTGATAAATTTTGTGGACTATTTCCTTCTATGACAGATGTTAATTTGGTTTTCATTTCAAGCTTTTTTAAATGTATTTAAAGTGCAAACTCTGTTAGAACTTTGCGTGAACACCGTACGCTGTATATAAGTGGAAATAATGGAATGAACGTTGACGCATATCGAGTGGCTTATACTGTATTTGTTATTGTGTACCTTTCATTGTCCTTGTGTGTGTGATGGTCTTAGTTTATTTAACGGCACTTTTTCACTTGCTTCGAACAGGAATTGCCTCTCTTTCCTGGATGATGGACAAATAGAAGGAGCTTATAATTTATACTGAGTACAGTACAAATACAGGCATACCTCGGAGATGTTGCGGGTTCGGTTCCAGACCGCCACAATAAAGCGAGTCACACAAATTTTTTGGTTTCCCAGTGCATATAAAATTTATGTTTACACTATACTGTAGTCTATTAGTGTGCAATAGAATTACCAAAATGTGACACAGAGACACGAAGTGAGCACATGCTGTTGGAAAAATGGCGCCGATATACTTGTTCGACGCAGGGTTGCCACACACCTTCAATTTGTAAAAAAACGCAATATCTGCGAAGCGCAATAAAGCGAGGTATGCCTGTATACCAAAAATTGAAGATGTAAATTGAACCAAGTAGATGATGGTCGGGTTGTCGCATCATCTGTGCCAACTGGCTCAAAAGGAAATGAGTGTGTGTGCGACAAATAATGGGGCAATTAAAACATTAAAAATTTAGAATTTCTTATGAATATTCTAAAATTCTTGCTGGTACACCAGAACTCTTCCAAGGGCACCAAAGTGCCTGCAGGCACACATTTGGTGATTCTGCCTGACTTAGGTTGATTCGTGGATAATGAATTGGAAGGGATGTGGAAGGAAGCGGTCATGTGCAAAACTTAAGGTCGTGTTCCAGCATTTGCCTAGAGGGACTGAGGAAGACCACAAAAACACCAGTTAGCCTGTCTCAAGACTGGTATTTGAACCTGTGACCTCCTGAACATGAAACAAAAGTGCTAATTACTTTGGTACAATATTCAGTGTGTGCGTTCGTGATTTAATTTGGATATTAACCATGCTACTTCCAGTACATTTCCCAGAAAACAGTAACTTGTTTTTTATTTTAAGGTGGCTGTCTTCCAAGTTGTTCTACCACGTAGTCTGGTAGAAGTTTCAGAGGTCCTTGCTGCCTCCATCATCAGAGCAATGAGTCATCACCCTGATGATTGTGGCAGCAAGACAAGTCAGAAGACAGCCGTCTTCAGACTCGCCACTGTGAAAATCTCAAATCCTACTTTGTTTTATTTTTATCAGCTACGTGCTGTTCTCTTCAGGATTCTGTATTTGAAAATGGAAGTCTTGTTCCAAATGTATATTCAGGAAATATATTCCTTTTATTAGCATTTGCAGTAGTTGGACCATTTATCAAGTTCTTATAGATTTGACACAAGTTTCTTTCTTGTGTAAGATTTTTCAGTGACGTAGTCACTCAATCCTCACGCAAAATCTCGTCAGCATCGTGAAATTATCTTTCCAAAGGTTCATCATCACTGAATCCTTTACCGATGGACATTTTAAAGTGGATCGAACAGCTGTACTTCCAGCATGATGGGGCACCTCACATTTCAGAAGACGTGTGGTGGAGTATCTGAATGTAACTTCCCTAGCCAATGGATTAACTGTGGTGATCTGCAGAATTGGCCATCATGATCACCAGACCTCACTCTGCTAGATTACAATGTATAGGGTCACATGAAAATCACTTTGTATGTGTGCAAAGTGAATGGAAGAGAAGAACTGTTAAATTGAATGTGCAACACGTGTACTTTTTTCCTTTCAATTGCATAACTGGTAATGAACATTACTACACTTTTTTGTAGTCCCAGTTATTATTATTATTCCTTTTTTCTTCTCAAACACTACAGTCCGTTGCGGACTTTGCCTTCCAGCACAATTTTCCTCCATTCTTGATGGTCTTTATGCACTGTATGCAAATATCTTATTCCCATAACCTCCAAATCCTATTTAACCTCATTGAGCTATCTTTACCTTGTTCCTTCTATGTAATCCTAATAGGTGGGTTAATTACGATAATTTTCCTTAGCATTATATTATTTCTTTTTGCACAAATTGTTATTGCGAATATTCTAATGCTGTATGAAAGCGTTAATTTTTATCGTAATTAACTCGTTGAGATGTGCTAGTAATAATTATATTTGTAGATTTTCATTTGTACTGTAGTGTGAGACAGCGTACCTAACGGCCGATGCTAAAATTCTCTGCTTTTCCACAAGGTCGTGAATCAGAAAAGTCTGAAACCACTGTGGCAAAATGGCTCTGATGTAGGTTAATATAATCCAAGTAACATGGAGAAGTTAGTACAGATGGAAGATCAAAGTCGTAATGGCGGAGCATTTCGTAACGAACATTCCTATAATTTAAACAGACCGATTCCTAAAATACGAAGAATCGTATTACATGACGTATTTTCTCAACAGGTTACGCCATTCTGAGTGAGTCTGATAATTCTAGAATAACGTCAGAGAGGGCCTTGATGAAAAATGTTTATAGTTGGTTAACGGTAGTTTCTGCTTTCTGTGAGCGGAAGAATCCTGTGAGGCGTTCGTTTATTGCAGCCATGAATCTTTTCGTGGAATAAATACATTCAGACGTTGTGTATATGTACATAGATATAAAAAAAACACTGATGGCATTTGTTTACACTTCTTCATTGCAACGCTAATGTTTCCATTTCTCTGCAAACATTACGTCATTAGTGTCACTTTGCTGGTGATCTTGGATCCTTTGATTGCGTGTTTTCAATTGTTTGATGTATCAAATATATCTTGCCACTAGCGAGTTTTTTCAGGGTTATGCGGCGACTAGAATCAATAAAATCTTCTCGGATGACCAACTGCTTCATTTCGGATTAGGAGTCCAACTCTGGTCGCCTGAGAAGATTTTATCGCTTTTGCAGTGTTATTTAGTGACGATTTTAATGCCAGGAACTACACAGAGTTGACTGAAAGATGAAAATTGTCGTGAAAGTTTAGTAGGCAAATTCGTGATGTCATATTTGAAGGTACAGTCTACAGATCAGGAGAAAATCCCTGCTAGGAATTCGATATACGCGCATGCGCAAAATTTCGCGGTGAGTGACGACCGATCCTAAAAGCATTCGTTCCACAACCACTGAACGAACAGCAGACGACAGGCTTTCATGTGTTCTAATGGGTACAGCTTTAAGATTACCTCACAGCGGCACAGCGATTTAATCTAGAATATTATCGCAACACCTACAGAACACATTAGAGGTGCGTTCACTACACGCCACTCTCAACTGCTTGATGTTTTCAGTCTGTGTGTAGTAGCGTAAAACTCTGACGTATCACACTTCCGACCAATAGCAGCCCTCTAGTCCAGCTGATAAGTAACATTTCCCCCGCACCGCACCAGAAACGATTTCAATCAGCAGGGTTTTTCTCGTGATCTGTGGACAGTACTATCCTAGCACTCACCCGAAGAACACCTGCGTAACAAAGACAGCTACATCAAGGGCGGACATGTTTACACAAACGCGCGGTCTGTTCGCTCCAAGAAGTTTGCAAGACGCATACATTTTAAAGAGCTGTAAATCAAAACAGACTTTTCAGGACCGATGTGTATTTACATATCTTACTTGCACATGACCATACAAAACCTACCCCCCCCCCCGAATATATAAAAGGCACTACTGTCTAGAGTGAATGTTTAATTAGTACTCGAAACACTGCAAAAACAATTGTAACGTTGCCACTTGAAAGCATAGTAACTATTCGTAGAAAAGTGTGGTATATTTGTGTGTAAAATGTCGATTCAAACGCAGTAGCTATTCGCGAATGTCAAACCATTAAAACAAACGAAGTCAATACATAAAACTGAATATAAATTAATAATATCTTAATATTAGCACTAATTTTCCTCTCCACTAAATGCATTGATTACGCCACTTTAACTCAGTATTTAATATTTATATTATTTATAATACATGTAATGATTATACTGTCATGACATGGGATGTAATACTTGAATGTGAGTAGCTATTAAGCCAGGAGAGTTCATATTTTCTCCTGTCCCTTCATTCCAGTGAATTTGTGTAAAATTAGATATGGACGGAATATATTTCTAAAAATCACTGTACGATATAGTAGAAATGTTGAACTCGTTATATACCAAGGCGCTGTGATCCAAACACTGTAACATCCGCTCAAAATAAACGTAATTATTTTTATCTGGTGTTCAGGCCAAGGATTTAAAAATAAGGTTTAATTACTCGTTAAATTTAACAAAAGCAATTACTTTTCGTCTCAAGTTTTGTGCTGCAGATTTAAAAATACGATACGGACATACGTTCCTATTTGAAGACTCACTCCATCTCTTGAGAACTCCCAAGGTCATACAATGCGCCTTAGAATCGTAACGGAAAGCGACACGCCGCCCAATTTGAACATTTGAATTAGATGGAATTTGGTGGCTAACTTTATGTTCCAAGGGTACCGCTCGATTCTTCCGCACAGCCAAATCGATCTACTGCTTAATTGTTTGAGCCACTGTTTTGAAGTTATTTGTTTGATGAAGGCCGGGACACGCCCTGATGATGGAGGTATCAAAGACCTCTGAAACGTCGGTAAACTTCTACTAGTCTACACGGCGCAACAACCCAGAAGACAGCCATCTTCAGACTCACCGCCGTGAAAACCTCAAATCCTACAAATATCAAATTTGATTTTTTTCTAGCTAGTATTTAGCGATTATACTCTTGATAGATACTAATCACAAATCCTTTGTGGACGTACATAATAATATGAACCATTATATATCAATAGTATTCAGGTAATAACGTCATTGTGTAGCTGATAAAAACTTCCTCGCTAGTGGTCCATGTTACAACACTTAATATTTAGCTTCCCTATGAGAATATTTTGAGTAGCCTGTTATTGAGTGAAATATGTAGAGTCTAAACATGACCAAAAACGTGTTTCCTAAATTTATGTGTGAGAAAAGATTCACCGATTCACTTACTTATTGTGTTCAGAATTTCTTAGAAACATTTTATTCTGCATTTAAAAAATAGCGTACCCACTTCTTTCACCAGAGTCCTTAAATCACCGAAACATCAGCCCTGTGTCCCGTAAATGTTAGTCAGAGGAAGAATTTAAAAATTATCAAAATTTTAGTTAATTCGTTAGATCTATCTAAAGGTAAGACACGGCTTTCCGCAGAAGTACTAAGGTCTGAAACTAGAGTAACACCTTTCCATCTGACACATGTCGCGTATCTAACAAGCACCAGGCCCATGGTTAGGATTCCATATAAAGCTTCAAGCATCCTCTGCCGGCAATCATCAGCTTTACTACCATATTATCATCGGGATTAACCTCAAAATTCCGTCTACTACGAGCTCCCATCACTAACATACATTTCTACCTTCGCCTCAGCAAACAAAGACCAGAATGTTCAGAGATCGTACCTGGAGACATGAGCTACAACATTTATTTTATCTCAGGTGGAAAAATAAGGCAAAGTAGCAACGGTGTTTTAATGTACTAAATATTCTGTGTTAAATACGACGCTGGCTTAATCCTCTGTACCACCTCTTACTTTGTTTCGTTTAACGAAGTGATTAACCGAATGTTACGAAGACGCGGAGGCCGCGCCTCAGAAGTAGAGACGGGAATTCGAGAAACTAATCCCAGATTCTTGGAAGACAATTCACAACATTTTAATTGAAAATGATGTAGTCACGTTTGGTATTATTTTAATACCAAACAAAGATATTATTATATTTTTAATACACGTGTTTAAAGTCATGGTTCGACGAAGGATGTTTAAAACTATCAGATCAAGGGAATAAAAAAGCCAAATTGCAGTGGTTACAGGACCCGAGCAAAATAAATGGAGATTGTGTGAACAATGTAAGACGTGCAGCTAGTAGACATTTCAGGAACGAAAAAGAGGGGATATCTGAACAAAATTAATGAGCTTTTAACACATAAGAAGAATAAGAACATTAGAGACTAGTGCAGAGGTGCAAATGAATTTAAGAAGGTCTACCAACCTAAAAGTAACTTGGTAAAGGATGAGATTTCCCATTCAAAATTGTCTAAAACAAGGAGATGCTTTATCACCAATGCTTTTCAACTTTACTTTAGAATACAATTAGGAAGGTCCAAGAAAATCAGGTGAGATTGAAAGTGAATGGGGCACATCAGCTTCTGGTCAATGATCATGATATAAATCAACTGGGAGATAATATAAATACAACAAATAAAAACAAAAAAGCTCTAATTGACGCTAATTAGACTGATCAAGACAAGGAGGATGAGACAGGCAGGGCATGGGAGAGAAGAGGAGTGAGGGGTTTTGGTGGGCAAACCAGAAGGAAGGAGACCACTAGGAAGACCTAGACGTAGGTGGGAGTATAATATTAAAGTGGACCTTACAGAAATGGGGTGTATGGACTGGATTCAACTGGCTCAGGACAGGAGCCAGTGGCAGGCTCTTGTGAATACGGTAACGAACCTTTGGGTTCCATAAAATGTTGGGAATTTCTGAGTGACCGTTGGCTTTACAGGAAGGAATCGGCCCCATGGGGTAAGCAGGCACACATGTTAAAACCATTCACAATAATTAAATTTGCGGATTGCTCCAAAATAGGGCAGGTACTGGCGATGGGTAGGGTGATTAGTAGTACTGAAAAAATAAGTCTACAACATGGGAGGGATTCGAACCTGGAAGCAAGGAAATTGAGATCGTACGTCTCTTTGTCTACTGGCTCTAATCTCACCATCAAACTCTGTCAAGACTAAAAGGCATGTTTGAAAACTGTTGGCATAATTTCTTTTTGTACTCTCCAGAGATTAAATTTCAATTCACCTGCTATGACCCCGACCTGACTACGTTGGCATCACCTGCGTGTGACGCGGTGACCTATTGATTTTCTCGTTACATTAGAGTCGTATTCTTTCACAGTACGTACTACAACACTCGGTTTTCAGACACCACACGCACATAACTTGCACGAACTATTTCTGTATTTCCCAGTCTCCTTGCTAAAACTACTCATGTTCATATATAAGAACCCTTATTTTGTCTTTGTTTTCATGTGGTCAGGCAGTCGGTCTCCAAGACGTGTCAAGGACGATGAGACAGACGAGAGCACGCCGGTTGTTCATTGAACTCTACAACACGAAGCCGGAGAGTGCTGCCATCTAGCGGCAATGTGCCGTAATACGAGACTCGAAGCAAGTGTCAGTGTCAAGGCCACACTTGGGTTGGTTCAGACTGAGAAGTTCGTTGGCGGATTATATTCTCTGGCAATGACCTTTAACTCTCTTAACACTAAAATAAACTTTCCAGTTGGCTGTTCAATGTTGAAGAGACCTCTACGAGACCTTCTCGTTTCCTGGGAATTTTCCTAGGGGCTCGTATTATTTAACAGAAACATCGGTTCATTCTGTTGATTTATTGAAATTTAGTGCGGGCAAAGAAAATATGGTTTTTGTATTCATGCAGAAATATCTGCGGAGTGTGACGTCCAACTATTATGGTCCTTATAAAATGTCGTAATGTCTAATTCATTTTCTTTCGTCTTTTTTCATCCAACACAACTTCTAAGCTTAATGTATTTCTCATACATTTCAGAAATATATGCGTTATTCGAGGAATCACCTATTTTAATACACAAGCCCTTCAGGAAGATAAAAAACTCTGACGGGAAAAGTTTGATGAACCATAAATAAGAAAGTGAGAGCAGACAAATGTGAGAACTACCGCATAATTAGCTTGATATCTCATGCATCAAAATTATTAACTAGAATAATACACAGAAGAGACACTAGAAGAGGATCAGTTTGGTTTTAGAAAAAGTATGGGTACTCGAGAGGCAATTCCGACCTTACGTTTAATAACAGAAGTACGGATTAAGAAAAAGAAAGATACAAGTATGGCATTTGTAGACTTGGAGAAGGCTTTTGATAACGTAAAACAGAATAAGATGTTTGAAATCTTGAGGAAGGTAGGGCTGAAGTATGAAGATAGACGAGTTATTTACAGTATTTATAAGCAGCAGGTGGCCATAATAAAAGTGGAGAATCAAGAAAGACAGGAATTTATTAAAAAGGGAGTAAGGCAAGGTTGCAGCCTATCGCCCCTGCTGTTTAACTTGTGTGTTGAGGATGCAATGAAGGAGGTGAATGAAAAGTTCGGGACAGGAATAAAGGTTCAAGAGGAAACGTAGTGTTAAACATTGACCTGGAATTAAAGATTTTTCTGAAGTTATTTGTTTGGAGCACAGCTCTAAACGGAAGTGAAACATGGTCGGTGGGAAATCCAGAAAGAAGGGTAGAAGCATTTGAAATGTTAAGAATTAAGTGGACTGATAAAGTACGAAATGAGCTGGTCTTAGACAGGATAGGCGAAGGAAAAATCTTACGAGAAGAAGAGATAGGATGGTGGGACACATTCTGAGGCACCCAGGATTGGTTAATTTGGTAATGGAAGGAACAGTTGAAGGGAAGAATTGTAGGGGGAG